AGGACGCGGTGAGGTATGTGCGCTGCGGGTGGTGTGGGGTGCTGCGGAAACCTGATTCCGGCGGGGAGCAGAGTGCAGCACTGCATCATCCCAATGATGCTCACTTCTAGGGAACTCTAACCTTCCCTAGGAGATGAGTGAACATAGTGTGTGGGTTTTTCTCCTCATCCAAGTTCACAGACTCCTAAATTCTACTCCCTGAAACTTGGAGGGTCTGTCAACACCGGGACGAGAATCCCGCTCTAGGCCAGTCTCGGGCTGTCCTCAAGGGGGAGGGGAATTCCCAAACTAAGCCCCCTCCATCCCCTCAGCAGGGAAAGGGGGGGGGAGAAAACAAACCAAGGAAACAAAATTACTTTTCCAAATTCCTTTACCTGCAGATAATCCTTTCACTCTATAACTGGAGAATGGCCTAAAAGGCAGGTTCTGTGATAGAATATGGGGATGAATAGGTTTTAACCACAGGACAAGTGATCACTTTCTAACGTTCATGAGAAGTCGAAGGCGTGCAGCGTGATGGCCCTGGCCAAGGCTGGGAGGGAGGTGCTGGCTGAGGCTGCAAGTCCAGGAGCAACATTCTGAAATGGAGGTTTTCTTTCTCTCCTTCCTGAAAAGGCAAAGCTGTTTCAAAGCGCTTCATGGTCTCTCCAGGTGCCCGCAGCCGGCTTAGCAGGAATTCTAGTTTGGATTTTCTTCTTATCCTGACAGTCATCACTGACTTCTGGCAACCAAGTAGGAAAATGCTTCATCCCGAAGCCCTCCTTGGGGCGTGAGCACTATTCTTGGGATCCAGGATTAGCTTCACCCAACCCAGGATTTCTCAATCTCATGTGGCCATGAATGGTTTTCCCCTTAGATAGGTACTTGTATTCATCATGGCAACCACAAGACTCCATTGTGATTACTGACCACACAGCGATTTCCTTCCCCTCGGGCCAAGGCACTCTGGCTCAGGGAGGCCTGCCCTCCATCTTTTCATTGTCAACCCCAAGAATACGAGGCCCCTGGAGTCTGTGAGTGCTTGGCTGGCCAGTGGGTTGGCCGATGGGTTGATCGACTGAATGAATGAATGTCTGAGAGACGGAAAGAAATGCTGAGTGCAGGTCGCCGTGTGTCCCTCTGCCGCGAGCACAGGGAGGAAAGGCCAGCACAGGCAAAGTTTATCATAAACTTCTCAGTGCAAGTCTAGTTCATGTTCCACTTAAACTGAAATAACGGTGCGGCCCTCTCGCTGCAGAAGAGGCAGGTGCGTCCTATCCAAGCATCTGGAGCTCCGAAGCGACAGAGACCAGGTCACTAGTGAGTCAGCAGCATCTCATCTGCAGTCTGTGCATGTTTAATGGGATATCTCAGCAGGTATCACAATTCCTAGCAGATGATGGCAGCTAATAGGAAGGTGACAGGCCAAAACTGGGCATGATCCTAAACAGTTTCTCAATATAACCTTTAGTGGGTTGGATCACATTTATAGGAGATAATGAAGCAGTAAAAAGTTATTCATAGAGGTACAGATTTAGGAGAAAAATATTAATAGTTGGATTTCAACCCGGTAAGCCTTTAAAGAATGTTTTTTTCATCGACCATCTGTTTTAGGATCCTGATCAACTAATTCCACCCACTGCATAATCCCCAAAGCAGAACTAACAAGAAACAACATCTGCTGGTTACAGCAGGGTGACATATAGCATTTTTGTTTTTACAAAACTTGAGTTCAAAAAGAACCTTCAAAATTAAAATTAACATTGAAGGACCTGGACGAGAGCCCACTGCTGCCAGACTATGTTCTTTAAGAACAAACAGAACAGGCCACTCAAGAACTTCTTCGCCGAAGACCCGGGGTTCACTTTTCCTAAAGCTGATCGGGGCCTAAGTAAGAGTTTAAACTCAATACTGAATGCTTTTTTCCCTATTTCAGTCGCCTATTTCTGAGAACAAAAGCTGCTTATATGTAACTGAAATTTAAATCAATAGCTCAGGAAGAAGAGTTAAAGAATGAATATAATGAAAGAGGCTTTGGGGTTTTAATCACTGTTTCTGTATTTCTTTCAAAATCGAACAGTCCCTTCTATCACAAACTTGTTCACCTGGGGGATAAGCTGCCTGGCTGCTCATACCCACACCAGAATCACCACGTCCTGCAAGCTCGCCTTCCAGATACATTTACCTTGTGCAATCATGAGGTAAATTTTGGGGGTGCCTACCATCTCAGTTTTCCGGGGGCTGAGGGATTTCTCAGATGCTGGACCTGGGAGAACCCTGGGCGAACTGGGACAGTGTTGGTTACTCTGATGGGTATATGACACTGAGGTAAGTGGGGTGTGTGTGTGTGTGTGTGTGTGTGTATGTGTTTTGTTAGAAAAGTTATTCTTTATTAAAAACATGATTTAAACAGGGTTATTTTTCATTGCTGAATCACTTAATAGCTAGTGTAAATTACTGCATGCAAATCACTTCGAATTCAGTAAATTACTATCATGTGATTGTGCAACTACTCTACATTCTTATTGTACTTAGAATACTTTCAATTTTCTTACTTTAAAAATGCACTTACTACTTTTCTGGAGATGTATATTTTATATTTGCTAAAATCAATGAAATGCTTATAAAATAACTGAGTTGGTTATTCTAAGAAAGGTGATTCCTGCATTTTGCTATAAACTAGCAAGAGGAACTGTGGTTTGGCTGGTTTCCACCTGTGTGTGTGTTGTGGCCGCTGGTCGGGCATCAAAGCTTCTCGTGGTTGCTGGGCACTGAACTGACCAAGGAGGGGCAGGGACTCACCCTCCACTCAGCTCATCTGCAGACTGAGGTGAACCAGCAGCGAAAGCAGTGAAGAGAGTTCCACTCCATCCTATTTCCTTCCTGTAGACCGGGGGGTCCCTCCACATTCCTTCTCTATCCACTTATCCTCTTGAGATAAAGAGTTGCCCTGGCTGGTTTGGCTCAGTAGATAGAGTGTTGCCCTATGGACTGAAGGGTTCCAGGTTTGATTCCAGTCAAGGGCACATGCCAGGGTTGTGGGCTCAGTCCCAAGTAGGGGGCATGCAGGAGGCAGCCGATCAATGATTCTCTCTCATCATTGATGCTTCTATCTCTCTCTCCCTCTCCCTTCCTCTGAAATCAATAAAAAGTGTAAAAAAATAATAAGAATTTCAAGAGAGATAGAGGGGGAGAGAGGGGAAAGGGAGAGAGGGAGGGAGGGAGGGAGAGAGAGAGAGAGAGAGAGAGAGAGAGAGAGAGAGAGAGAGAGAGAGAGAAGCTAAGCTACCCAGTAAACACTACCTGGCTGCTTCCCCGGACGCCCACGGCTCCCACCCCGGTCCATGTCACCAGCATCTGGGGCCTGGACTGCAACCTGTGCCCTGTCTCCCTTCAGACTGTTCTTACACTAGTCAGGATGATCCTGTTTAAAGTCTAATTGAGTCACTACTCTGCTCAAACTCTTCAAAAACTAATGGTCTCACACAGAGACCAGACAATCTCACGTCATTACAAGGGTCTGCCCACCCTTCTCTCTGACCTTGATCTCACGAGTAACATTCAATGAACACTCGCCGCCGTCCCTCTCTCCAAGCTGCCTCCGCAGCAGAGCCGCATCTCAGGCACTCTGGCTCAGCCACGTACACTGGCTTCCATCCTTCCTGCTGCCCCCCTTTGATGTCAAGGCCTGTCCTTCCCGACTCTAGAGCCCCTGCCTCCAAGCTCTTCCAGTTCAGCTTGCTCTCCAGGAATAGCTAGGCATCCTCAAAATTAAGCAGATGCCAGGAACTATATGGGATTCTAATGACACCACGTCCACCATTTCAGCCTGGCTTTTAAGGCTACCCAGCCCACACTCCCAACCCGCCCCACCGGATTTCCTCTAAGCAACTGTATTTCCTTGTGCTTCCAGGTGCGCACTGCCCACCGAAGCCCAGCAGGTATGTCTGCTGAGGGCCAGTCAAGGTGCAGATTCCTTCATCGCTGCCTTTGCGCATGCTTCAGAGATTTCCCCACTCTCTCTGTGCCTTGACGCTTCTTTAAATCCCGTTTACGTCTGTCTCTTCCTCTAACAAGGTTTTCTCAGTCACTTCCACTTCCTAATCATTGCTGCTTGCTAACAACCCTGTGACACTTTCACCCAAACGTTAGTCCTTGCTTGCGGGTTTCTCTGTAAATGCTCTAAACACCTTTTGTGTACTCTGCCCCCCCCCCCCCCCCACACACACACACAGGGCTTCGAAGCACTTTCTCAAGCTGACTCCTTAGCAGGTGCTGCTAGCAGACTATTCTACACCTACGGGCATTCCCATAAATGCTGTCTGAGTCAAAACGCAGCGGATTGGCACTCATTTACAGTGACTGTTTACAAGTGGTAGTGAAAAGAAAGAAGGAGAAAGCGTAAATGTTAGTTAGTTTTTAAAGTCAGTCACACTTCCCATGATCCGGCCAGCTTGTACCACACGCATGGAGATTTCCCATGTGTCCTAAGGCAACGTCTGCTTTTCTACCTCCTCTCTGACCCTCGCCACCAAGCGCCCATGGGAAGAGAGCCCAAAGCCATTGGAAGGTGTACAGAGAACACCAAGCTTCACCCAGTCCCACTGCGCACACTCAGTGTCGGATCTGGTCTGAGGCCACCAGATCCACGTTCTTTACACTGACTGCTTACTTACGGCCTCCCTAAGCCAGAGGAGAATTAGTACCTTGGACAATTTCCCCCACAGAGCTTGGTAAATTTACTTACCCTGACAATTTAGCAAAGAAGAAACAACAAAAGAAAATGCCACGTTAAATGTTTCTGCCCATTCTGTACCATCACTAGGCTAATAAAAACTCACTGCTTCTTAGAATATTATACAAAAAATAAATGATGGGAAATGCTACTTTGAATTAAAAGTTTTGTCTAATATGTCCCCATTTGTATTATTTCTTTTAAAGAACAAACTGAAGCTATCAAACCAGTGAAGACATTTGGTTAAGGACTGAAACGGACGTGGCGATATTTAACAGTAACTCACAGGATCCGCAGGCCCACAGAGCTCTCGGAAGGTCTTTGCAGGGTTCGTCTGCAGGATCTCCAATGCCACGCAAGGGCCAGAATATATTTCTGTCACCATCTCCTGTAATATGTAATATAAAATATTAAAAAATAAAGTAAAAATTACCTTTGACTTCTTCCCCACCTATACTCTACACTTTCCCAACAAAAGTGTCTGTGTTCCCTCATCTCCGTTCCTACCACTGCCACCGCGTGAATGTAATCCTGGACACTTTCACTATCTGAAATCATTTTCTAGGACAACCTCCTTTCAAAGGGTCTCTCCTCGTGAGCACAGTACTGTCGAAAGCATCTCTGAAGAAATACATTCCAAAGCGCTCCTTCCAAAGACATGAGAAACAGCAGGGAGAGGTTTATCTCCTCATTAAACACCTGGAAAGCAGACCCTCTATGGAGCCACAGTCAGACACTGGGTGAAGGGCAGGCCAGTGGTCCCGGGAGAAGGGAAGCGAGCGAGGTGAGCTTGCAACTGCCCAGCTCCCTGCCTGGAGGCCTTTTCCAGACAGTGGGACAGGGCAAGGAAACAGAGCCCAACATTCTCAACCGTCCAGGAGACAAAGATGGTGCATGGACTGGACTCGCCGGATGGACTACTAGAGGGGGTGCAGGAGCCCTGGGAGGGTAACCCCAGGGATCTGCCAAGAACGTCACTTGAATTGTTGGCTAAGAGACTGTGTGTGCAGAGGTCACAATCCAAGGCTGAGATAAAGAACTCCCAGAGCATATGTGGACTGATTCAGACACACACGAAGCTGAGAAGGGCTCACGCTCTGCAGGCGGAGTGGCCAGCCCTCATACAACACCTAGGGCATCAGAGAGAGTTCGGGGGGGGGGGGGGTGTGAGCTCAGCCAAGGGGCTAGGGCATCGGGGGCTGAGCCAGACCACAGGGCAGCAGCAGAGACAGGGCCAGACCATGCAGGGCTGGGGGCCCTTGTTGTGGCCCTGCAGCGTTTATGGTACACAATGCCAAAGTAAAATAAGACTTACTTGTTATGACAATATTTCAATATTAATCTGAAAGTAGTCATCATAACAAATAGAAATGTCAGAAGTTGAGAGAGGAGGGAGGGGACGTCATAATTAATATGGTCCCCAGAGCCCTGCCCCTGAGGGCCCCTGACTGTATCCCCTGAAGCCACTCTGCTATACACGAGGTCCTGTGTGACTGATTTTGGTGGATAATTGGGGTGAATCTGATTTCCGGTCTCATGCTCCTGAAGTTCCACCTGCACTAAATGACAAGAGCCAAGTTCTCAGCAGGGGGAGGTGGGGGCATGGACATGCAGGGCTGAGGAAGCCCATGGCTGCAACAGAATGTTCACTCTCAGCCTTGACCACGTGGGCTGAGGAAGGCCCAGGCTCCAGCAGTCCTGGAACCAGCCAGTTTTCCTTGGTGAAGGAAGGTTGAATGGAAAGGGCCTCGAGAAGAGAGGGGATGGAGGTCTAGTCTCATTGTCAGGAACAATGAACTTCATGCAAAAAGAAAAGTCAAACTATCTCTGAAACAGCAGGGCTAAGGGGGCAGTGTACCAGCACAAATGTGTCTGAGACAATTTGATAGAGAGGGGAAGGAAACTACCTTTGATTAAATGCCTACTATGTGTTATTTTAAGGAACAATCTGGTGTACTTGAATATCGTCATTTGTTTCCAAGGGCCCTTTCAGTCTTGTTTCTTCCGTCTCAGTCCCATTTTCAGATGACTCCACCCGCATTTGTGTCATTGAAGTAGATGGTAAGTACTGCTATGAAGTTATACGATCATGTTAAGATCTACTTGCTTTTAACTTTCTAAAGCATTTGGGACTGAGAATATTATAAACTTTACAGATAATGTCAAAATGTGTCAATATCCCAGCAAGGTTTTTCCCCCTTGCATTTTCTGTTTCCCCTGCAGATTTCTGTTTCATAAATGAAACATTAAATGTTTAAAACTGACCCAGTGGCTCTCAGGGGTAGAATATGGCAGTCACTGGGCATCACGGACTGGCAGCTGGCAGGATCCTGTATACTTTAAAGAATACTTTCCCGATTAAAGATTACCCTGAGACTCCCCAGCTGTGAGACACGCAAACTGTTTCCAGTACGAACGCTTTGCGCTCAGTTTGATACTTACGTTATACTCAGACACCACTCCTTTATAAACTTCGTAAAACTCTTCAACGTTAGCTCGGTCCATGTTGAACTATGTTAAAGAAAAACACCCACAAAACCATAAGTTGACCAAGCAAAGAAAACGAACTACACTTTAAGCACTCAACATTTATGATCTCTTGGATGTATTTTCTTTACTTTAAAATGTAAAGTTTGCATGAATCAAATACTCTTTGAAGAAACTGCTATCAGAGGCTAGCTCATCAATAATAAAAATGTGTAATGATTAGAGTGCTCAACGTGTCAGCATCGCTCTTGGTCCTGTCCACGCAGCATCTCCTCTGATGCTGCGACCACCCTGCCACGTGAGGGTGGCACCAGCCCCGATTTGCATGAGGCTGAGCCTCAGAGGGGCTGTGGAGCCCCACAAACCTGGGTTCCATCCCGGCCTGACCTCACTGGTCATGCTCTTCACCACAGCATTACACCTCTCCGAACAAAACCTCATTCCCAGCACAAGAAAGAGACACACATAATGCATTGGTGTTTGTGGGTAAATGAGTGGCACAAGAAAAACATGTGACTAAAGAAAATTACTTGCAATTCTGTCGAGAAGGCTGAGCATAAGGTTTCTCCCAAGCACCCTGAAGCCCCTGGTTAGTCCGGCGCACGGTAAAGCGCCTGGAACTCTGCTGCTCTTCCAAAGGGTGCAGGCACGCTGACGAGACCAGCCGACAGACTCCTGCCTGCCCAGCTGCACTCAGACTGAGTGAGAAGTAGAAGCTCATCAAGTCCCAGTGTCTCAAAAACTAAGACCTTAAATGTTTTCCGAAATAGCCTCAGGCTTTCCAATTTTATTTCCCACCTCATTCCACTCACTTTGCTTACTGTGGCCAGGACTGACAATTACGGAGAAATCTCTGCCTACTCAGACAATAATTCAAACGAGGGGCATTTATTTTATTAGCAACATAACCATACAGGGAGGGAATTTTGTTTGGTTTCTGGTGTTTTTTTTTAATCCTATGTTCACACAACCTGTACTGTTAATATAATAAAGTAGTAACAGAAAATACAATTTATTAAATACCTAGCAATTTGCACTGAAAATTCCACAATTCTTGCAATGAAAATTCTTCCATTAGGTAGGGTTATTTCATTTAATCTAATTAGGTAGACAATAATGGTCCCCTTGCTTAGCTGATAAAACTGATAAGAATATTTGAGCCCTGGCTGTGTTACTAAGTGGTTAGAGTGTTGGCTCACACACTGATGGGCCAAGGGTTCAATTCCCGGTCAAGGGCATGTACCTGGGTTGCAGGTCCAATCCCCTTTGGGAGGCAACTGACGGATGGATGTGTCCCTTTCACATTGATGTTTCTCTCCCCGCCCCCCGCCCCCCACCTGCCTCTTCTCCTCTCTCCCTCCCTTCAGCTCTGTCTAAAAAGCAATGAAAAAATATCCTCAGGCGAGAATTTTAAAAAAAGCTTGACATCTGGCCACTGTCACATACCTAGAAAGCAGCTGACCCATGACTCATAAATAGATCTTTAAGACTCCAAAAAAGAAGGACTATGCTTGTCACAAAATCACCATGCATCCCCCACAGGTTCAATGAATCCTTTTTAAATTATTCTTGTTTTCACTGAGCACCTACAAGGGCCAATCACTGAGTTACGTTATAGGTTGATCCAGCCAGACTTAGATCAATGTTTACAACTAAAATTCCCACACTGGTTACTTTTTAAGCAGGCTTAGGTCCCACAAAGCTGCGGATACATCGCCATGCTGCTACTTTGCGAAGGTTTTGGCTCACAATTTCTTTATAGTCCTAGATAAGAATCTTCTAGATAAGATTCTTCAAATACCAACTTCCTCACCAGTCTCCAAGTTTTTGCCTGAAGACTTTGCAAACCAATCGATATTTCTGAGCTTTTCTTGACCTATGGGCAGCCCCACCAATCGGATCAGTATTTCACTATCATAACAGCAGAAGCTTGCTGGCCTTGGGTACTGTAACACCCACATTGTTTATCATCTGCACCCAATTCCTCCTCAAATGCACTGGTAAGCGGAGCACAGAGGCCTGAGCCTCGAAGGAGCGATGCTGCTTCTTCAGTGGATGGTTTCCTAAACGTGTGTTGGGCAGTCTGCCAGCCACCTAGGGGCTGCAAGGCGCTGGCTCTGTGAAGGTGCCGGAGGGGAAAGCCAGAAACCAGCACAAGGCCCAGGTTAAGAGAAATCCGAAATGATCTCTTCCCCCACTCCCCTCTGAGTCACAGATCCAGACAACAGAAAAGTCACTATAACTACTTAGCTTAATTCTATCTTTTGTTTGTAAAAACTAAATACTTTATTTCAGCCCATATTTGCCAGCAAAGTTCCAAGAACTGCATAAATCTACTGTACCAGCTTCAATTAGGTGCACAACTTGATTGTTAGTTCTCTCAGTGAAAGATTTGATGTGTAAAAGAATTTCAAAAACATTTTTATTATAAGACTAGGGGCCCAGTGCACAAAATTCATGCACAGATAGGGTCCTTAGACCTGGACAGCAATCAGGGCTGATCAAGGCCTTCCGGCTGCCAGCCAGGGCCTCCCTTCCCCAGCTGTCAGCCAGGGCCTTCCTTCATTCCATACCGCCCCCTGGTGGTCAACGCAGATCATAGCGAGCGATAGAACTCCTGGTCTCCTGGTCGAACTCCCAAGGGGACAATTTGCATATTAGGCTTTTATATATACAGATTACCAAGTTCAGTAACTCTTTTTGTGTATTTTAGTGCAGAGAAAATTCAATGTAAAACAGCTTAAAACTTATGTAGAAAAAAACAATTCCTTAATAGGTTGTGACTCATTGCAAACTACGTACCATCTGCATAGCTGAGATCTCAAAGCCTGAGTCTCGGATGGCCATTAGAATCTTCCCCAGCATTCCTGGAAATACAGAACAAATGTGTGAAAAATGCAAAACTTCTCAGGCATTTCAGCTGCTTAGAAATACAAATTTTCTGCATCAAGTTACTTTCCTTTGCTTACACTCTCTATGAGGAAATCACATTTCCCAAGGGACACTAAGTCCCTGAGACAGCACCTATGGCCATTCCATCCACTGGAACCCAGTCCCTGAGACAGCACCTATGGCCATTCCATCCACTGAGAAGTCATTTCCATAAGGGAACCCAGTCCCTGAGACAGCCTCCTATGGCCATTCCATCCACTGGGAACCTAGTCCCTGAGAAAGCACCTATGGCCATTCCATCCACTGAGAAGTCATTTCCACAGGGGAATCCAGTCCCCGAGACAGCCTCCTATGGTCATTCGATCCACTGGGAACCCAGTCCCTGAGACAGCCTCCTATGGTCATTCGATCCACTGGGAACCCAGTCCCTGAGACAGCCTCCTATGGTCATTCGATCCACAAGGGAACCCAGTCCCTAAGACAGCCCACTATGGCCACTGGATCCACTGGGAAGTAAGGGCTCCAGGAACATCAGGGATGACCCTGAAGACGAAAACATTTCTAAGATACTATTTTGCTCTAGGGCCCATGAAGTCCAGTGATGTGCAGAACATGAAAATCAAACCACTAAAACTCATACTACAAGAAAATGAAATTCCCAAGTATTAGATACACAGAAAGTTCAGAGAAGTAACATCAGATTAAAACTGAAGAGGCATGCCCTAACCAGTTTGGCTCAGTGGATAGAGCGTCAGCCTGCGGACTGAAGGGTCCCAGGTCGATTCCGGTCAAGGGCATGTATCTTGGTTGCGGGCACATCCCCAGTAGGAGGTGTGCAGGAGGCAGCTGATCGATGTTTCTCTCTCATCGATGTTTCTAACTATCTCTCTCTCTTCCTCTCTGTAAAAAAATCAATAAAATATATTTTTTTAAAAAAACAAAAACAAAAAAACTGAAGAGGCAGCAGAAGCTCCACACGAACCTGGGAAAGTGAGCATATCCTCAGAACAGTAAGACATCAAAAAGAAAAACAGCTGAAAAGAGAAATGTAACCCAAATGGATGAAGGCCCTGGGTGTCAGCAGGAGGAATTTGTATAATGGGGTCTATGAACACTGCAAGGCTGGGACTGATTTTCAGATTCCATTCACTTTCTATAAAAATATTCTAAGTTTTTTTATTTGTTCAAGTCAACTAAAATTGTCTGTCTTACATACATTCACACACACCCATTCTCACACTCACACATACCAACTCAGACTCACATTCACACACACACTCTCACACCCATTTTTATACTCACACATCCACTCGCACTCATACACACCCACTAACACTCATACACACCTTCTCATACACACACCCATTCTCACACTCACACACACCCATTCTCACACTCACACACACCCATTCTCACACTCACATACACACCCATTCTCACACACACCCATTCTCACACTCACACCAACTCACACTCACACAAGCCCACTCTCACATTCTTACACTCACACACACCCACTCACACTCATACACACCCACTAACATCCACACACACACATTCTCATACTCATATACACACCCATTCTCACACTCACACACACACACACATTCTCATACTCACACACACTCACCATATTCTGGGTCATCTGGGTGCTCACCCAGTCATCCCAAATCACCAATAAGTACCAGTGTCTGGATGGGCATCTTATCTAGGTTACTGTTACTGCAGCTATTTTCCTTGTAGAAGGCTGAGGGATAAAAATATAAAATAAAAAATGATGCCATCTATTTTCCAAATGACAAATTGGTATCACATGAAGGCCAAATGACATCATAGCACACTGTACAAATAAAGGTTGTGTGGAAGTCTGAGCATGTAACAGGCTCATGTCAAACTCTGAACAGTCTGTACCATATCCACATTGACCTTCATGATTTAGTTTTGGCAAACATCTATATATATAATAAAACCCTAGTATGCAAATTGACCAAATGGCAGAATGACTGGTTGCTATGATGTGCACCGACCACCAGGGGGCAGACGCTCAATGCAGGAGCTGCCCCCTGGTGGTCAGTGCTCTCCCACAGGGGGAGCACTGCTCAGCCAGAAGCCGGGTTCATGGCTGGCAAGTGCAGCAGTGGAGGCGGGAGCCTCTCCTGCCTCCGTGGCAGCAGTCAGACATCTCCCAAGGGGTCCTGGACTGGGAGAGGGTGCAGGCTGGACTGAGGGACATCACTCACCCCCATGCATTAATGTCGTGACCGGGCCTCTAGTCTATATATATAAAAGTCACGTGACCGGAATGATAGAACCAAAATGACCAGAATGATGAGTCGCTATGACATGCACGGCAGCAGCCAACCAGCCCGATCAGGGCCCCCATCAGCACCCCCAACCTCCTGCAGCCCCTCCCCCTAGCCGGCCCAGCCTTGATCAGCCCCCCAACTGGATCAGGGGCAGGGCTGGCCAGCCAACCTTCTGTGTCCCCTACCCTGGCTGGCCCGGCCCCAATTGGGGCCGGGCCGGCCAGACCCTACCAGTGCACGAATTCATGCACTGGGCCTCTAGTCACATTATAAATTTGATCCATTATATAGCTTTGTTTGGACTGAATTTATAAAATTGTTTTAAACAGTTGTACATGAAAAAGTTTATAATTAACTTTATATTTGGACATATTTAAGTTGCATTTAAGTAAAATAATTTATGTTAACACTGGGAATACCTTTTTTCCTTCAAGAGGAAACCCTGCCTGCTGTGGGTCAGTGTTGAGCATTGACCTATGAACCAGCAGGTCACTGTTCAATTCCTGGTCAGGACACATGCCCTGATTGCAGGCTCGATCCCCAGTAGGGGCATGCAGGCAGCCGCCAATTGATTATTCTCTCTCATCATTGAGGTTTATATCTCTCACTCCCTGTCTCTTCCTCTCTGAAATCAATAAAAATAAATTTAATTTTTTAAAATATGTAAAAATAAAAGGAAACCCTGCCAAAAGCAATGGAGACTCCCAGAAAGCCTGAGCAGAACAACACAGGACAAAAGTGGTGTTGTAGGAAGGTTACTAAGGCAACAATGATGGGGCAGCTGATCTGAGGGAAGGAATAAAGGACAGAAGAAGAACAAAGGCTTCTGAAATGATCAACATGCCGACTGGGCTTGGGTGGCAGCAGCAGAGAAGGAAGGAGTAGAAGACGTTGCCAAGCAAATGTAACAGGACGAACCTTGACAGACTGTGAAGAGGAAGGAGGAAGGTTTTGAGTCTAAGTGACTGGCAGAATGTGGCACTTTAAAGAAAAAGAAAAACAAAAACACGAGTGATGTAAACAAATGAAGGAAAACGACACTGAATTATTTTGAACAGAGAAACAGAATTTTAGAGCAGGGCACTGACGGGTACTTGGGGACAGAGCTTGGCCATTGGCTGAAGAAGATCACTGAGCGGTGAACGAATGAAGTCCCTGGGAGTTGGGGCACAGGTGCCGTCCAGAGATATTATGAGGTGCAGAGAGATTAGAGCTGGTGATGAGACTAGATAACTACTGTTTGACAAAAAGAAGAACAAAAGCAAAAAAGAGCTTTAGTTTTAAAGTTTGGGAATTGAAGAATGAAAATAAATAGATACATAAAAGGAGACATGCAAGAGAATAAAGAAGATACTACTGTGACATGACAGTAGTATCACAGCATCAAATGGAGGGGGAGTTCTTAGAATAGAGGGACAGTTAAGACTTAACGGAGATGAAGGACCCTGGGAACTGAGATAACATAAAATTTCAAACCTCTCCCAGTGAATTTTTTTTTTTTTTTATATTGGGAGACAAAATCCACTGGTCTCTTGTACTTTGAATAAATCATTCACTTGTGTATGATTTCCTAACCTCACACATTGATCATTTAGGAAATGTTAGCTCACTGTTTTGCAGTCTTCCAAATGCTGACTCACTTCATTGGGCCACACTGAAAAAATCACCCCCAATTTAATCAGCATAGTCTTCAAGCATGGGGAGCTGTCAGGCTCAAGGTGGTGAGTAGAGTTTTCCAAGATTCTAATCCTAGTGTTCACTTGGAACTTTATCATCACTTGGGTCTTTATCTTGGGCAACAACTGCTGTCAGTTGTCATGTCTTTGAAATGACAGGATTACTTCATTTTGAAAAGAGTTAAGTTGCAAACCAGTGGGAATTTCTGGTGTGGCTACAGTCTTGCAGGTAAAGTGGGACTCCCTAGAAAGGCTCCTTGTTGAGTTCACAACTCAAACAACGGTTCAAGTGCTTTTCGTAAAGACGGGGTTGCATTTGAGTGTGGAGCACAAGTGCCCTCGGTGTACTGCCCTTAGTTCCATGAGTATTAGCCAGACCTGTACTTGAGGGTCAAAAATTACTCACTTGCATTGCTGCATTGAGGACATTCTTACGTAAGAATGGCGTTTCCCTGAAGCACCTGATAGTTAAACATGCATGAACTATGAGCTTGGGGCGACTGTCTTGATTTGTGCGAAGGTAATTTCCCCTGCCATTGCCCTTGCACCATCTGTGCAAATGTCAACACATTTAAAAAGGCAAATAAATCATATGTTTCCGAACTTTCCTACTTTCCATAGCATGATCTTTTCATATGACTGCATTCACATGTGGGATATAAAACTAAAAACAACAATGAACAAACAAGGCAAACAAACAAAAACTCATAGACACAGACAACAGTATAGGGATCACCAGAGGGAAGAGGGGTGGGGGTGGGTTAAGGGTAAAGGAGGTCAAATATATGGTGATGGAAGGAGATTTGACTTTGGATGGTAAACACAGATGATGTAGCATAGAATTATACACTTGAAACCTATGTAATTTAATTAACCAATGCCCCCCTTCCCTATAAATTTAATTTTTAAGAAGGCAAATATAAATTCTTAGTGTCCTTATGTACACAGATCTGACCTCAGGGATACTGCTGGTGCCTTAGCACAAATCAAGGT